AAACAACAATCGCAATTAATATTCAGAGCAAGAAATAGCACATTATTATGTACTCAAGTTTTAAACTCGTCTTTAGAGGCAGATAATAATGTGTCAGCAAGTTATCTAATACATACATTTAACCTGTTGCTATATCGCTACTGATGAAAATAATATTGTGATGATTATTCATAAGGTTTTATTGCCCAGCCCTAGCTCTCTGTCACACTCAAGTAAAAGTGATAACATGTCTGTACCTGACTTCATGGGTTGAATGGATTCATTATGATAATGAGCTGTTGTCCTGAATTCCTCCTGGTGTCATTCAGTGTCGAATCGTCATACTTTGGATTGTTGATTATTGCCTAATGTCTCGGATCTTAATTTTTGGTGGTTACTTGTATCATTTTAAAGCTCTTTTACAGCTCTTATCTCAAAAGTATGTGATCCTCATTATAAAAAAAAAAAGCCGTATGAGTGATTATAACTTTTAAAGTTGAATTGCAAATAAATCATATTCATATTGGTCAGATTTTCATGAAAGTTATAGTTTATAATGTCATCAAGACCTTCAGAAAGCTTGGTACTTGGTTTTTAAGTTGTTGCTGAGATATCATTCGTTAAGTGGTCAGTGCGTGGTCAGGCACATGCCAAATACCAATGCACTACTCTGTTGATGGGCCATTGGATAGAGTGCTCAAAGAAATACAACATGGAATCATAATTTTTAATATGAAATAATACATTTATTGCAAAACTACGATGACATATTGAGGTTGTGATGAACTGTTAAGGAGCAGTGGCCATTCTTCATTTCTGCTCCTTCAGAGTCTTTGTTGCAGCGGTTTTGTTTTTGTTTTTGTGTGACCCCAACCCTAGGACATGTAGTTGTTGTGTTGTTTTTTGCGGCCGTGTGTGTGTTGGGGTGAGAGCTAATGCCACAACATGCAATGCCAAGCTGCTCACATATCTGTGCTTCAGCACTTGACTGTTTGCCAGCCGACAGGAGTCCATAACCCCTAAGGGCAGCAGCGTTCTCCCGGCTGCAGCTTCCTATCATGATTCACAGAGTGCGTGTGACGTTCCCGTTGTGACAGCGTTGGCCCGAGTCCCAGCAGAGTCCAAAGATGCGACTTCCGCTTGCCATGCACTCATCTAAGTGGTTTACCACCTGTGGCCGCAGGTCAGGCTGTGAGAATAACCGAGGCCGGTGGGGCGGTAAAATCATTCAAGTTTTAGTTGCATCAGCACTGAGCTGCTGAAACACAGCAGAGAAAAAAAACTCCTCCTTGACCTTGGCTTGGCCTGACAGCCGCTGGAAAAAAGGGAGTGGAATGACTGTTGCCTCCTACTAACTGCTGCAGGCAGGAGGTAAAAAAAACAAAAAAAAACAGAAGTGGGTCATGTCTGCAGTCACTGTGGCTGTGTGTACATTGACCTCGCACTTTGTCACTGCTGCTGGTCGTCCACGCTCAGTCAGGTGACCAGGAGGAGGGAGCTGCCACAGGCTGGCGAAGGACTTTGTGGTTGCCTAGGCAAAAGTCAAGTAGGATTTTGACGAGTGTGAGAAAAGCTGAGAAAAGTGTGACTCTGTGAAATGTCGTCTGTAAAAGATTAGTGCAAGACTTCAACTGCACACATATATATATATATGTGTGCAAGTAACAGACGACTGACGTTACAAGCTCCTATAAGCTTGCTGAGTCAGTGCCTACCTGAAACACCTCAGTGCATTTTGCTAATCTGTCTGTTTGCTTGTCTTAACACACATTAACTCCAGATAGACATCTCTAGCCAGAGAGCTACAGTGTGAATCATGTAATGCAGCCCGGAACAAAAAAATCTCTCCGGTAACCCATTTTCTTCCTCCGACCTTTGAACTTAGGTGTGATGTGCCCGTAGTGTTTTCAGTCGTCGTCTTTCAGTGAGCCTGCGTCTCAGCTGGTTTAAGCCCAGCTTGTTAGCAGGGGCAATGAGTTTGCCCTCTCTGCCTTGTCCTCAGAGTGGAAAGAATGCTCTGTGTCTGCCGGGCTGTCACGCTCCAGGAGGGAGGCAGTCTTGTGACGTTGCTGCTGAGCCTGGCCTCTCTGCTCTAAGCCGCTAAACCTCGTCCATCTCCCAAGGATGGTTTGAACTGAGAGAAAGTCGCATTTTACGTGGAGGTAGAGTGTGTTGTCCACTAATCTGAAGGTCGGTGGTTAGATTCCCATCTCATTCGGTCAACATTTTCAAGTGTTTGTGGGCAATAATATACTAAACTAGAGCCTGACCATATCCAGCAATATATATAAAATGTTGTTATCAAACCCTATGACTAAAGCTGCTTTCAGACACGCTCTGAAGTCCCCTGTGAAAGGCTGATGCATAGGTCGATTAAAATGGCCTCAAGATAAATCGGTCAGGCTCTATTCTGAACCCCAAATTGCCCTTGGAGGTTAATGTGTGTGTGGGGGGGTGAAAGGCATGTAGTGCACAGTGAACATATGTGAAGTTAATTTAAATATTCACAGCAATGTCCTTGTCTAACCTTCTTCTCATGTTGTGGGAGACTGAACCTACCTGCCGCTGCTGTCGGCTTTTTGCAGGCAACAGTTGTTTTTGACACAGCTCAGCAAAGAAATTTGCTCACATCAACAGCAAATCAGCTGGGAGGAAAAATAAAGATCAACCAGAAAGGAAAAAATAAGCCTAGTGGAAAAAAAAGTAGTAATCTTCAGCTTCACTTATTTGGATTTGTGCCATTTCTCCCCTGATCCCGCTCGTAGTCACCAGTCGCCGCCGTCGTTCGATTTGATGTTATCTTGACAAAACATTAAACAAGGATCCAGTGCAGTAAGGAGTGCCTGTGGACTGGTAAAGATTTACAGAGAGAAAACACTGGAGGGGAACAGACAGTTTGCCTCGTGTGAGAGTTTAGTTGATGTCTGTTATGGTAATGAAATAGTCAGTTAGCTGACGAAAGACGATTTTGATAATTAGGTGTAAAGTGCAAATAAAGAAGCTTTGTAAAATAATGTTTCAGTTGGTGACAAATGGAAACATAAGTTAATGGATATTTATTATTGTTTCCAATTTCATAATAAATGAAATTGATGTCATCATTCAGTTCAAGTATACTCTTGTGCTTATGTTTTTTTTTATGTGGGTCAGATGGCAGAAATGTTTCGCTCAATTAGAGCTTAAGAAAAGTCATACACAACCAACAGTCTATGACCAAAGGGGGGGAAATAAATTGGATAACCCATAGAAAAAACAACCATCTGTTGATTATCTGTCAAGTCTGTTATCGGTGTGATCTGGCAGTCAGACTCTGAGAGCCGTGTTGACAGCCATCACCAGCCCCTCTGTGAAATTGGATTTTGTGTCTGTATATAAAAAACAGCTGGCAGGGTTAAACAAACACGACTGAGGAAAAGAGTTTCACCGTTGGTCTTTTTGCTTTGTTGAGACGGTGCAGAGCGAGGGACCCGCTGTGATGTGATAATGCCAGGGTATTGCACAGGCTTATCTGGAGCTACACGGCCAGATAGACCATGAGCGCTCCACCTCTCACTCTAAAGCAAATATTGAACAATACGTTTCTTGCACTTGAGTTTTTTTTTTCTTCAGAGTAAATGTCAAAGTCCGTATTTTTTTATTTTTTTTATTTTCTGCATTGTAAACTGAAGGCTGATGGCTCATTCAGCCAAGTAAGGCTGGGAGTCTCCATCGCGACAAGCTGTTAGGATTAATTAGCGTGTGCACACACACACACTGCAGCCTGCAGCTTGCGCCATATAAGTTCAATCAGACAAACACGCCAACGACTTTAATTTGAGTTTATCCCTCCTCAGAAAGCCACGCTCCACCTCAGGGAGAAAACACACGAGCGGTGTTTTTTTTTCCCCTGTGGCCGTCGAGGGTTTGTCACCTCATTGGCACCTTGTTCTCAAGTCTGGCCTCCACCACAGACGACACGTTGTGTTGACAGGTTGCAGGGAGGGCCACTTGTGCTCTTCAGATCCTCCAGAGCTACAGAGTGGCACTTACGGCAGTCGGTGGAGCTGCAAAGGCTGACTGGCATTGTGTTTTAGAGCCTGCCACTGAAGCTCAATGGGTAATCTCACAGTCAAATGGAAGTCACCTTTTCCTTTTTAAGATAGCGGCTTTCTACTGCTTTTTTGTGTCGTAGTGCATTTCTGAACTTTCGAATGATTATAAGTGCACTTTAGTAGCACTGTAGTATGAAGATGAATTTTAGCACACAGGCAGAAGCTCATATACATGTACACTTGTCACAGGAAGGGGATTGATCTGAACAATCAGCCTGTCCTCATTTGCTGCTGAAAGCTGCTTTCAGATATGACCCGAAGTCCGTAAATCTTCCTGCATTTTTCTGTCAGAGCCTGTATGTGAAAACACAAATGTTTGAGTCAGTTGGTTTGGACATTTTCCAGGACTCTGGTTGATGCCCATATGAGAAACAGCAGGAAATTAACAGCGAGAGAGTAGATGTGTTGATGTCGTTTCTAACATGCAACGAACAGGAAACTGGGATATTCCAAATATCTCAGGATGAGATACATGGAGAAAGATGTCTATATGGATAGCTGACATAGATGCGAGAGCTTCTGCCGACGTCTGCGTCAATTTGCTGTAAAGAAAAACACGGTGCTTTCTACATCAAAATATATACGTCATGTTTTACCTCCTGCATGCTGTAGCCAGGTGCCACCCCCTTGCCTGCATGTTACATAAATTGGACAGTTTCCTGCTGCGTTCCTCTTATGTGAAAGGTAAACTGGGGCAAACCGGAGTTCATGTCTGATGGTACAGTACCCAGCAGAGACGTGTGTCATGCTCAGCTGCTGTGTCAGACAAGCTGCAAGTGGGTCTGCCTGACAGGGCTCCTGCAGAACTAAGTGAGACAAACACAGCACTGTCTGTCACCCAGCATTACACACGCTAACACAC